CTTCGAAGCGAAGCGTTTTCCAGGCAACTATGAAGGTTTTTCTCTGCCGGAATCACCCTGCGTTGTTCTTAGATACGTGCACTATGACATAATCCAATTTGAAACAAGAAGCAAAGGACTATTTTAATACAAAGACACGTTTTCATCAATACTAATCCTTTGTACTATTTTGGGTCAATTTTGAACTATCGTTCATTTTTGATAGAAGAAGAAACATCCACAACTTCTTTCACGGAAACGCTTCGTAGATATGGAAGGCAGACTTGGAATCAGTGTTTTAAGTTACATTCAGACCAAATACCCTTCCCTTGTAAGAAGCAAACTGTGAATCGTCGTTTACCAGTGCCTATATTTCCTACAGAGTCCAAAAATTTTCTTCTTCTTAGATTTGATATAAGAGAACCTATTTTAGATAGTCAACTTCGGTCTATTATCATCAATTTTCTTAGGGCGAATTATTCTGACCAGATGTTATAGAGATTTCACATTTGGCGGTATCAACATAATAGATGATGTACCAAGCAACTCGTTAGCCTCGCATAATTATAGGGGCTTAGTCCATATGCCAAACAATTAGTAGCTTTTGCTACCTGACTGGATACATCCGCCTGTCATCATTATCTCTGAATGCACTAGCCAGCATCGATCTATGCCTAAACTAGGGGCTATGGCAATTTTAGAAGTCAAGCGAATCAGATGACACCATGCACCATTAATAGATTAGCACCTGGACAAGGTTTGGGTTTGAACAGATCAAATTTCTTCATTGGCGAAATGTATAAGATCCACAAGTGATTATTGATTCAGCGTTGGTGGAGCAGACAAACAATTTCCGAAATCAAAAATTGCGCAGCAATACTGAAAATTTTCAAAGCTTTATTAGCATTTACATTTAAAGAACCCTAGTTTTATTTATAAAAATTCTTACACATTCATCATATCTACGTAATTTTGCACTAAGATTGCTAATGTTTGAAGAGGAGGTTTGAGATAGTCATCCTAGAGGTTTGTACTAAATTTTGAAAGATAATCTCCATTTTCACAAGAATTTCTAATACAGCAAAGCTGATTTATTCAAGCAAAGTGAAATAAAAATCTGATTTAAAACCTCTCATGCAGTAGATTTTGCACATATTAGGTAAATTTAACACAGGTATGATTCTTGGCATCTCTTATTTGTGAACGGTGCATTGGTAATGGAGCGTTCTCAACTTTTATTAGTCTGCTACCCAAAAGTTACCCAACTAACAAGTCACGTGCAAATTAGAGGTGCTCGCAAAGATCTGCACTGAGTTTCAATATTCCAATACTCTTTTACAGAATCTTTAATATGAAGCGAGAAAGCAAGTTTAAGATTTGTTGTTCAGCTGATATAATTTAGGGTACCAAACAATACTCAAAGTGTAGCTCATTTTGGTTGTACAGTAGTGCTACATAGATATGCACTCTTCAATTCGCATGTTTGTAAAGTATATGGCACGTGATTATAATCCTACTATTAATCCTTCTATCCAATGTTATGGCGTTAACGGTAGCTAATGAGAACAGATGCAATTACTTTTCTTATTGCCTGCCAATGAAGTATTAAATTATATATTGAAGGCAGTAGTAAGTGCTCATAATGGTTGGATAATGCTTTTCTGGGCTTGACATACTGGTTTTTCTGAAAAAAAAAGAAAGGACACTTTTTATCTCAAGCCTACATTTTTGATAGCTTTAGTAGTAGTATACAGGAATAGCTAGAGTTACACCTTATTTATTGATCGCTGGCCTTTCATTCCTCAGTTATTAACCAAACAAGCAAGCAGGAGCGATGCTATCATTTGAGAAAAACTTATATAAACCTTTAGTTCTGGTAATTCTCTAAAATACTAGTAGAAATGGT